CTTGGTCTATTCTCATAGGTGCTGAAGAACTTGTCCATGGGAATGCGCAGTAGCTTCTCATGCAGGATCAAGGCCTTTTCTTTGATAAGGGAACATATTGTGGTGCTTCCTGTAACTAGGAGCATTGCATCAATAAGTGTTGATTTTATCCCTCTAGTAATTAGTCGCAATGCTTGGTTGTGTGCCTTCTCCAGTGGTTTGAGAGTCACCTCTGTGGCTGTAATGAGTGGCTCACAGCAATACAACATTATTGGCTGAACAAACATCTTGTAAGTAGTGTCGAGAGTTGAGCGTGCACAGCCTCATACACTACCAGCAAAACGCTTCAGTACATTCAGTCTGTTGGAGACTCGTTCTGCTACTTTAGCAATGTGATTTTTCCACGTTAGCTTTGTGCCAAATGTCATTCCGAGATAAGTGAACTCATTGGATTATTCTAGGGTAGTATCCTTGTACCTTAGAAGAAGGTTTATGGTGTGACGGGCCAAAGAAAATGTTTGGAATGCAGTTTTTGTGGTGTTGATTACCATTCCATTGTTGTCGCACCAGTTTGCTAGTAATTTAAGTGCACAATTTATTGCACTTTCCGTCCTCTCCTGGGCGTTTTTTCTTAGCTGCGGAGTGCCATAGAACATGATCATCTGTATAAAGTAAGCATTTGATGCCCGTGACTGTACTAATTCGGCTATGGCATTGATGAAGACATTGAAAAGAGTGCAGCTTGTGATAGCACCCTGTGGAAAGCCTGTTTGTAAAAGATTGGATTTTGATAGAGCATTTACATATCTGACTTTACATGATCTTTGTCCAATGAATGCTCTTATCCAGTTTAGCATGTNCTTCGTGGTTATTCAAACCACCCCCCCCCCTCCCCCAATGTGCTTGTATCGTGTTACAACTAAGAGGAGGTGGATGAGATTGTGAAACGAGCAGAACAGTGCTCAGGTCGCGGTTTCGTCTACAATTGACTTTTTTTCAAAATAGTTCAAAACATATTGATAAACATCAAATTATGACGGTCTATTGTGCAAATAATTACAAAGTGTATTTTGTCTGCCCATTTGTCCCGTAATCCCATAACGTTACGACTCCACCCTCTTCTCATGCGCCAACATACTTCAATAAAGAAACAATTTGTGGCGACAGTAGTCTAGGTAATAACTGCTG